CGGCGAGAGCGGGCGGGCGGCGGCGGCAGAGAGAAAGACACCTCGGCCGCGTCCGTCATGGCGCGCGGCGGCAGCGACAGCTCCCTCTGGTCTCTCCGCTCCCTCGCCTTTAGTTTGACCTTTCCCTCCAGTGTGTCTGAGGGAGAGCGGCCGTGCGCGCTCGTGTGCATGTCTCTCTGTGTGTGTGCGCGCGCGCGCGCGCGCGCGGGGAAGAGGCCGAGCTCGTTCCCCGACACCTGACGTCACTGCCATGGCAACGGCGGCCCCAGCCCCTCTCTTCCCGTTTCCTGTCCCCGCCTACTCGGTGCGTCCTGGGGCTTCACGTGCTTACTCACATGCGCGCGCACGCTGGACGCACGGTCGCATTGCGCGCGCCCAGAGCGCGGGGCGAGGGGGCTGGGATGTAATCTGGGCCGGCTGTTTACCCGCTCCTCGCCTCCTCCCTGAATTTGACCAATCCGGTGAGGAGGAGCCGACGGGCGGGGCGCGCAGGGATGGCGAGGGCAGCGCGAAAAACTTCCCGAGGCAGAGCTAAAAGCTTCCTGAGCGACTGAGCATGCCCTGTGGCGGAAGGGGCGTGTTCGACTCTAGTTTAGGGAGGAGCAAGAGGAAGAGGTGTTAAATAGTAGGGGAAAAGAAGCTGGGGTCCCATCTTAGGGGAGGTTTGTAGATTTCAAACTGGAAGCGCGTAGTGTGAGCGTCCAGCCGCCCTGGGTTGAACTCTGGCCCCACCGCTCTCCCTCTGTGCGACCTTGGGCACGGAACTTAAACCCTGAACTGAATGTCTGGGGTCGAATAAGGTTAAAAATCCACGGTGGTTGTGAGGATTAAAAGCGATCACGGAAAACGTCCCTGTGATGCAGAGTAGTTCGCCAATACTTTAGCTATCCTTGCGGAGCCCATGCTTTGGTATTTTGCAAGTGGGGTTGCGGGACTCTGGTTAAAATATTAAATGATTCTTCCGAGGTCAGGTAGTATCAGAGACCAGGCTTGAGGTTCAGCGCTCTTTGTCCCAAGCAGCCTGCCTATAAGGCAGGGAAAAGAAAGCATTGCAGGGAAACTACTTTCAGGGCTTCCTTTGTAATCCTCACCGCCTACCCTCATCTCGGGACCTAAGAACTGATAAACCAGGCTATGACATCTGGGCGTCAGTTACTTAGCTTCCAAATTCGCACCTGCCCAAGCAAGAGAAGGAAAGCTGTCCTCGGTGTCATTCAGACGCCTACAATTTCCTCTGAAGTTGTAATGGAAGGGTAAACACGGTAGCAAAAAACTCCAGGTCTTCCATAATGTCTAGGTAGCTGAGGAAAAGTTCAATTAGCTTCCATTTACCTAATGTCTACTGAGTAGGCCGAAAAGCCTTGCCAGGCAGACATAGTGGCCAGTGCTTGTAATCCCTGCTCTCTGGGAGGCTGAGGTAAGAGAATCTAAAGCTCAAACCCCGCCCTGGACAACTTTGCGACATAGTAAAACTGTATCAGAATGATTAAAGGGGGAGGGGCTGGGGAAGTAGCTCAGTGTGAAAGTCTTGGGTTCAACCCAAGCACTGCAAATAAATGAATAAACAAATGTCTTCCTGGCCGGCAAGGAACCTGTGAGACCAAGTCTGTTTAGGCAGGTACCGCAGGGTTCAACATTCGGGTGACCTACTCATTACCCCAGCAGAGTTGCCCGCGCTGTCCTCTAATGGAGCTCCTAATCGCTTACTGCTTCGTGGTACTTTTGAAGATAATTTTGCTATTTAGCTCTCTCTCTCTGTGTGTCTCTCTGTCTCTCTGTCTCTCTGTCTCTCTCTGTTTCTTTAAGGCAGGGTCTTGCTATATAGGTCAGGCTGGACTTGAACTCACTATGTAGCCAAGGCTGGCTCAAACTCAGCGATCCTCTTGCCACAGCCTCCCAAGCGCTGGGATTACAGGTGTGTGCCACTACACCTGGTTTCTACTTACCTTTGCTATTAATTTTTTTTTTTAAAGTATATTCCTGTCTTACAGTCTCAAACCTAAGTCTGATCTTGGTAAAGAACACCAGCCAGTTGCTCAAATATGCCTGGATGCTTCCCATTTTCTTTGCAGGTCTGATTCATGTGACCCTGCCAAGTACCAATTTGAATGCAGTCTCTTCCAACATAGGTTGCTGGAGGCACTCTATAGGAATGAGTTCCTTTTGCAGAGCGTTTGGTATACATCATTCCTCACAGACTTTATGATCTGCTATAGGTATGTGCACATCTCATGTACAGAAAACTACTATGAACAGAGGGCTCAGTGGAGTTCAGTATATCACTTATTACTTATTCCCTTAAGGCCTGATTTATTTGCCTTCCCCAAGAGAGTAAGCAACTCTTTGATGGAAGGAACTTTGTCTAGTTCTACTTGGCATGTCCAGCCTCTTCTTTGGTACCATACCACCACTCAGCAACTAGCTAGTGAATGGCTGAATGGGTTCCCTGCTGATTTTATAAGGTTCTCATGGGCAGGCTTTGCCTTGGTATATTTGTATTTTATAACAAGGATGTATGGGAAGTTAAGAGTTCCTACTAAACTTTGGACTACTTTAAAATGCACCAGAGATTACATAATTTTTAGCAGTAGTTCAATATACTGCCCAGGCCAGGAAGTCTGCCATCCAGGGAGGAATGAATGGCTGCCACTGTGAACCTAGGAACAGAAGTCTTTGGATATTGCTAAACATGAAATCATAGGCAATTTACCCAAGGTGTCCCTATGATGTTGCTCTCAGCAAAGTAGACAAATTTTATGGACATCCAGCAATGTTTGCTTACTCTGAATTGGCAGCATGTTCCTTTGTCCGATTTAGCACAGTTATCTAAGCCCAGTGATATTTTGTGTCTAGTGTTGTTTTCTTGATATGCTGTTTAACTCTATGTGTGTGTAAGAAAATCTCACCAAACCAAGTCTTTTTTTGTTTTGTTTTTTGAGACAGAGTCTCACTATGGAGTTCAGCCTGGCCTTGAACTGAAAGCAATCCTCCTGTCTCAGCCTTCCAGGGGCTGGAATCACAGATGCATGCCACGATGCCCGACCAAAACAAAGTTTCTTACTCCTCCTTGTGCCAGTAGCATTCCCAGTTTCCAGCTGTACAACCTCAGAGTCAGTCTGTTTTTCCTGTCTCTATTCTGACAGTCTCCCAGTCCCACACTGTCTACCTCATCCATGGCAGAGGTAACCACACACTGGTCTCTAGCCCCTTGGTCACTGTTCCAGGGGGAACCCCCGTCTCTCCACTAAGCCCTTCCCAAGCCTCCTGACTGGACAGGGAAAAAAGCCTGTCCAGCCAAGTCCCTCAATACCCGGCACTCCAGAGGAGTCTTTTGAAAGGCAGAGAAGGGAGCATGTTGCTATCCAGCTTCCAAGTCCTCCTGATCCTCCTTGACTCTTCTGGAAAAGGCCAGACTTCTTCTTCAGTGGCTTCTTATGATCTGTCCCTGGCCCATTTCTTCAGCTGTGGCTCCCACTATTTTGGCAAGGGCTGTTTTACTCCCTAGATGGTGAAAGTGTGCCCCAGTCAGCCTCTGTATCAACCATAGCTTATTAGAGAAACAGATTTAATGCAAAATATACACATATATAGGAATATACTAGAGTAGCTTACAATGGCCACCCACAGAGTCAGATGTGTATACCTGCAAAAGGGCTATCTATGTGCTGGAGATCGGAAGGATCCAGTCAAAGGCCTAGGGCTACTGTTATGTCCTGGACAAGTTTGTATCAAGATGCTCAGGGGTCTGTGCTGGAGGCTGAAGCGGTTGCACTGGAAGCCAGGAGATGATGCCCAAGGTGAAGGTCAAGACTGGAGCGCCTCCAAAGAAACAAGTGAGCCTTCCTTCTTTGTTTCTCTTTTATTCCATTCAGGTGGCAAGCCTATTTTCTGCTGTTACTCACACCCAGGCTGAGTCTTCAGTATTCAGTAAATCCCTTCAGCAATACCCAGAACTATGCTGATCCAGTTTAGTTGGGTGTTTCTTACTCAAATTGACTATCATAGTCTCTGAATTGTGACTCTCTCACGTCAGCCTCCCAAGTAGATGAGATTACAGTTGTGCGCCACCAAGCCTGGCCCTTCTCTTACGTATCCTGTTCTTTGCTAGTACAGGTCCACCCACCTCAAATTCTCTGCCATGGCCTCTCTACCATCTACCAGAACAATCTTACCTCTACATTCTAGGTCTATGACAGCAGGCCACATTACATATCTCCTCTTATTCTGTGTTGTATTTACATGTCTTTTTCTGCTCCTTGGAATATGAGCTTCTGGAGACAAAGGGTTTGGGCTTATATCATTCATGTATGTAACTCTGGCACTGCCACAGTATCTGGTACACAAAAAAGACTCCATAAGTGCTTATTGAGTGAGTTAGTGTAAGCCCCACAAAGGGAAAAAGCTATTGCATTTCTTTGATTCTTCATGAAGCTATGCCTAGTGTTGTACAAGAATAATTAGATACTCAAAATAACAAATGAATGAAGGGTAGTGTTGCGATGTTACAAACCTGCCATATATTAGAGACTAAATTTAATCCTTTCTGTTGAGGAACTCAGTTAATCCCCAGCAACTTTATAGAGTAGGCATTTCTATCCATATTCTGCAGATAAGGAAATCAAAGCTCAAGGAGAAGTGACAGGGCCATAGTCACACTGACGGTGATAATGAAGCCAGGATTTGCTTACCCGTTCACCTAATTTGGAAATAGCCTATTTTGTAAGAGATTCTTGGGTTACTGAGGGGATGGTGGCAGTGGTGATGCTCATGACCACTGTTACACTGTTATGTTTTCTCTTCTCCTTGTCTGCTTCATCATAACCAAAGGCTGCTGCACTTGATCAGAGCAATCTTTGTGCCAACATGAAGAAATGTGATTGCATAACATGCAGTGAATATGTACAAGTCAGGCTACATGGAGATCATGATTCTCTGTCTCACACTCGCTTTTGCTCTCTCTGCAGCAAACTCATATATCCATAATTGAAATCAGAATTACTATGCTCACAGTTAAATGTTGAGCATGTATGGATAAGATATTTAAAACTGGCCTTTGGGATCTGAAGAACCCAGGGGAGGGGAAGGGAATGGAAGAAAAAGTTGGATGTGTTATGTACATGGACCAACTCCCCACAAGGAATGCAGTCATTATGTGCTGCGAACATGTGCTAATAAAAATAAAAACCCAAACAAGATAAAGTCGGGTCTACAGCCATTGCTCGTGTGTTCATTTGAGTACTTCTGTAAGAGAAGAGAAAGAACATTCAGTTCCTGTTCTGAGGAATTCTGCTCCCGGATTCCTGAAGGACCCTGAGTTTTGCTTGGGCCTCGGACAGTTATGAGCACACCCTTGATTGGAGAGCATGCTTCCCTATGGAGAAGGTCAACATCTTCCCCAGAACAGCTACCTGAAGGGGAAGGTGGCAAATGAGGAAGAAGTGGACACACAGGAAAGTGAGAACCCAAATCTACACAGTTAGCAGGACTGGCTCAGTCAGTCCTGGTTATGAACAACATGAATTAGCTCTTTTGCCCTCGTAGGCTCTTAAGACTGGTGCATTAAAAGAAGGCTTGATGCATGCACTGTATGCAGCACAACCTGGGGGGTGCTATTTGCAGGAAATTTATGTGAATGGCATCCTTGAGCTGTATGGCGCTCATCCTCCATGCATTTCTCTGTCTGATTTGGCAATTTAAATGATCCCAGTTGTACCTTTACTGATGCAGATGTTTATGAAATACCTACCAGTTGTCACCTCAGAAATGGTAAATGAACTTTACTGTATCAAATTATATTTAAAGATGTGTGCCTATATGAAAGTGCTTAACAAACTGCTCACTACCATATATTGTAAAGAAGATCGGTTAAGCATCTGCTAAGTTTTAGCCATGACTCAAAAACCTGGATTCAACAAATGCACTGAGCACCAACTACAAATCTTAGAAAAGCTATTAACTAATTCTTTTAAAAAGAAAAAGCTGGGCTGGGGATTTAGCTCAGCGGCAAAAGCGCTTGCCTGGCAAGTGCAAGGTCGTGAGTTCGGTTCCTGGTACCGGAGAAAAACCAAAAAAAAAAAAAGAAAAAGCTTATGCTTTTTGCAGTTTATTCCATTTGAAAATATGGAGGTGTTCTCCAAATCCTCTTTGTTTCATTTTATCTACTAAGACCCCAGAAATGACATCTGGTTCATCCACTTAAATCAAATAAAGTATACTTTATGTAATGTTTTTCTTTTTCTTTTCTTCCAACCTCCCTTCAAAAGAGGTGCCAGAAAGTCAAATTGGCATGTTTAGACTCCCGGCAGCACTGGGGAAAGCTACCCTTAGCAGAGTCAGCCTTACATCCCATCTCTGGGAAAAAGTGCAACAGAAAAAGTGCAACAGTCCCTTGGTGGTCCTTGGATCTGTGAAGGAAAGCTATCCTCCTCCCAGAAACCTTGTATTTGGATTTTATAAGACCGAGAATTAACTGAAAATTTGTGGGAGTTTATTTTTGCTTTTGTTCTAGTAATAAGCTTTCCTCAATGAATTCACTGGAAAAGTAAATAAATGACTATATTTGCACTCCAAATTTGTGGAGTGTCTCATACTAATAAGTTCTTAATTTTGTAACCCCGCTTAGTGAGTGTCTCTAGTACTCTAGTATAATGCTTCCAAGTCTTTGATGGTGTTAGTACATACAAGCATCGCTGCTGGAAAGTTGTCTTGTGCAGTTGCAGAAGCTAAGGCTTAGTTTTTAAAAAGAGCTCCCCCCAGGAGGAACCAGCACAAACATACCTCCATAGAGTCACATACACCCCTATACAGCAGAATAGTTGGATACAGAGTCCTAGGCAGCTTTTATCATTTTTACTATTATCATTAGCAGTGTTAACATCTTCGTCACCATTCTTTTCCAAGTCAAGATGGTTAAAGAGGTCTGAAGTCATAATTTTGACTTTTCCCAGTAACTCAAGAAGAATGAAATTGCTGTCTCCAGAGAGACAGTGATCTCTGCTTTGTGAGTGGTCAGTGGTCAGCATGTCTCTCTGTGATGTCTGTCCCATGACCCCATTATGGGCAGAGATCTGTGTTCCAATGGCCCTCTAACTCCTCCACAAGCACCATGGAGCCAGAAGTGGAGTTTCCTGATATTTTATGTCAGCATCAGCATTAAAGAATGTAGCATGGTGGAGTCAGCTTTCCCTTTTTCCTGGGGATAGGATCCAGGGTCCAGCCCCTGTGGGCCACAGTGTTGACCTGAGGCAAAGTATTCTGTCTTTCTACTGGTCTGACCGTTCTGTCCTGCTAGAGGCAAGTAGTCATAAAGCACTAACAACTAGAGGGGTAACTTTTGTTACTTTACAGTAAAACCTATGCATCCAGGGAGCTGTAAAGATTATCCTTGTCAAATTACTCCTGCCAAGTACTTGGAGTCTACTGAATAAAGCTTTGCACTATTTTATTTTTATTTTTTTGGTACTGGGAATTGAACTCACGACCTTGCACTTGCCAGGCAGGTGCTTATGCCACTGAGCTATATCCCTGGTCCACTATTTTAAATAGTAACTCAAAAAACTCTAATCTCGGGGCTGGAGATTTAGCTCAGCGGCAAAGCGCCTGCCTGGCAAGCGCAAGGTCGTGAGTTCGGTTCCCGGTACTGGAGAAAAAACAAAACAAAACAAAAACTCTAGTCTTATGCTCTGGTAATAATCACGATAATGTTAATCAGCATCTTCAGTAATGAATTGTAATACTTATGCATGGAGTGACCACCATGTACTTTGCAGGCTTCTTTATGTACACCAAATATTTAAGTTTCACAACAGCTTTGTAAGGTGGAATTATCCCATCCAATAGTTGGGGAAACAGAAATTCAGAGTCTATAAGCAGCTTTCCCAGTGTCACTACAAGGACAAGGTCAATATACTTCACAATTATTCTTTGAAGTAACAAATGCTGGAGGGGATGTGTGGAAAAAGGAACCTTTCTCCCTTATTGGTGGGAGTGCACACTGGTACAACCACTGTGGAAATCAGTGTGGAGATTCCCAAAAAAACTAAGATTAGAGGTACCATTTGGCCGAGGTATTCCCCTTCTGGGTATCTTCCTAGAAGAATTAAAAGTATCATACCACAGCAATATATGCACACCCATGTTTATAGCAGCACAATTTGTAATAGCTAAATCCTGCAAACAGCCCAAATGCCCATCGGCTAAGGAACAGATGAGAAAGGTCTGGTGTTTTTATACAACGGAGTACTACTCAGCCATAAAGAAGGATAAACTTGAGATTTTCGTAGGTAAATGGATGCAATCTGAGGTCATACTCATAAGTAAAATAAAGCAGACTCACATGTAAATATTGTATGGCCTCCCTGGTATGAGAAATTGAAAAAGTAAGTAAGGTCTAAAATGTGCAATAGATATTATGAAATGGGAAGAAATTGTTTAAAAGGAAAAAGGAACTAGGAAGGGGAAAAGGGGAAAAGAAGGAAGGGAAAATGGAGAAAAGAGCAAGCTAGTTATACTATTAGTGTCTCTTGGTTCATAGAAAAAGATTTGTTCTAATATCAGTTGGAGAATTTTTTATGCCATATCTTGTATTCTGAGTAAATACTTTAAAGATAATAATATGCAATGCATTAACTATTATTACTCTCCTATTATCTTGTTCTGAAATTTTACGTTTTTACTTTTAATAGAAGAAAAAAGTATTCTTTGAGAAAATAATCTTCATCTTAAGTATGTAAGAGCTAATTCCAACCTTAGAGAATTTAAAACATGGTCTTTATTGGAAAATTGTAAATATGAAACAATAGAGAGGTATACTCATCCAAGAGTATACCTCTCAAGAATAATTTGGAATTAAAGGGCTTTGAATGATTTCTGCCTTACTTTTCTTGGAGGAGAGCCAAATTCTTAATAAGAATCTGTGCAAAAGAGGAACCTGGGGCCTAATCTTATTTATAGAGGCAAAAGATTATTTTTATTTCAATCTCACATTCTTTCTCTTCACTTGAATTTGCCAATTAATGCAGGAATAGCAAAGAATGTAAATACTTAATTTTGAGTTGTCTAGCCCTCATCCCTACTGCAAATGCTTAGTTAAGGTTTAAGATAGGTTTATGCTGAATCATATAGTAGTTGTCTCCCTTGCTATAAACTGCAATAAGACTTCTTAAGATTGTGAGACAGGCACAGGTCAATTTATATTTAGGAAATGAATGATTTTAAATGGGGCTGGTTTAGTAATGGTGTGTTATCACTTGCTCAGACTGCTCACAAGAACTGGCTGTTCAGGTTTCTTCTTAATGTTGAATTTGATAAAATCACATTGGCAGCTTGAAAATGGCCATGGTGGGAGTAAATAAACCATGGACATTGGTGCGTGCTATAGATCAGGGCTTTTATTCCCCAAAGAGGCAGCTGTTGAATGTTCACCAGCACCCTAGTGGATAGATTATTTTATCTGCTCAAAAATATCTGCTATCCTTTACCATGTGTCTAATCCCCATTTCCCTTTCTTTAGAGAGGAGTGTATTTTTTCACCATTTGAAGTCACTCTTAATGATGTGATGGACTTGAGTCAGTAGAACGTGATCAGAAATATATGTGCCATTTTCAAGTTGAATATAGCATTGGCTTCATGTTACTGTAACAAAGCATCTGAGAAAGTTAACTTACACAGAGAAAAAGCTTTCCATTACCTCACAGCAGCCCAAGATTGGGGGTCCCATTGCTTTGGGCCTCTGATAAGGGAACTAATACTATGATGGGAGTGAACAGTGGAACAAGCCCACTCATGTCATGAACCATTAACAAAAGATGAAAAGAAACACACTGAGGTCCTCTAATCCCCTTCAAGAATAGGCTCCCTATGACCTAAGGACCTCCCACTAGGCCCCACCTCCTAAAGGTCCACAGCACCTCCAGTTAGCAGCAGCCAGAGGGATGAGGCATTAACACATGTACCTTTGGGAGACAGTCAGTATCCGAACTATAGGTGGAAGAACATGGATCTGCTCTTTCTTTTAGTTTTCTGCAATTTGGCTTTTTCCAAATAGTGTCTGCTTTTTCAATCTTAAATCCTAGAATAAAAAAGACCTGTGGCAAAATGATAGCCAAACTGTAAAGGGCATGGAGATAAGCAAGGAGTAAATCTTTCTTGTTGCAAAGATTTTGAAATTGCTTGTTGGTTTTCCAGTATTACATGGGCCAAACTGATCGTACAGTAGTTGGGATTTAAAATTGAGATCCTGCCATAGCAGAAAATCTACATTATGTGACATTAACATTGGGGCTTAGAAATGGTAAAAAAAAGAGTTATTGAAGCGAGGAAAAATGGTGATCCATGTTATCTAGTGGCAATGCACTTGGTATAACTGTCACCTGTGACCACTAGGAAGATGATAATGTACTCAATGAACTGGTAGCTTTAGATACAAAGGTTATGAAACACAGTGTTATTTTCCTGCTATGGGCTACATACAATGAGGTACTAAAAGAGAGGGCTGAGCTCTAGAAAAAATTGTCCATTTTGATGAGATCAAAAGGAGTAGAAAGAGTCCAGAAAATGGAGGACTAGAGAATGTCATGGAACAATAAAAGATAAATCTGGGAAGTTTTTAAGGACAGAGACTGGTTAAAAGTCAGCCTTGTGACAAGGACCGAAAGAAGGTATGGTCCCTTTGAACTGATTAAAAGGGTACCAATTTCTAGTTGGACAAAATGGTTCAATTAAAAGGAGACTGTAAGTGTAATTCTTCCACTGAAGACTATAAATATGTTACCTGCAATTAAGTCTATAGAGAAATTCACAACAAGAAAAGAATTATGGATGAGGCCATTGGCCCATGAGACTGTTTGGAATCAAATGATAAAGATGTGAGAAACTCATACTGCCAAAAGTCACTGGCTCATCACAAAATAGATTATAATTACTTGAGACTTGAACTGATCTTTGTTTCCCCAGCCTTCTTGGGAAGAAGAACGTCCACTGCATAGTTGCC